TTATTTAATTAATGCATCTATATACTTGGTAAAGGGTGGAAGGCTCGGCCCTATGCCTGGTGTTTTGTTCCACTCTTGCCGCCCTAGTTTCCGTCCTACCGGTGTTATGTTCCTCGATTTTGCGTTCCTTACGCGGTTGGGTTATAATGGGAACCCCTTGACAGTTCGCCTTGAATAAAACTCCTCCAGCAATGCCAAACCTTGGTTTTACCATTTGCCACCTAAGCCTTTTCCCTTGGGTTCTGCAGACTCAAGGGTCATCTTTATTTTAACCCCCCCGGGCCAGTGCTCCTCTGAGTGTTGGTCCGAACTGGGCAGCCTGTGGGGCCACCTCGGGGCAACTCGAGGGTTGGTTTTACTCGTAGCTTGACCTATCCGGTGTGCCCTGAGAACGAGATACGTGCGAGTCCTATCGGGATTTGTCGGCACATCGGGCGGCTTTGCTGGTTTAGTTTTACCATTGTCGAGATGTCTTGTAACTAGGATTCCGAGTCTGATTGGGTTGTCTTGGGGGAAGGAATATCCTTCGTTGACCGTGAGAGTTTGTGATGGGCTAAGTTGGGACACCCCTGCAGGGTTTTGAACTTTTGAAAGCCGTGCCCGCGGTTATGGGCAGATGGGAATTTGTTAATGTCCAGTTGTAGAGAACTTGACACTTAACTTAACTAAAATGCATCAACCGCATGTGTAGCCGTGATGGTCTCTTCTCGGCGGGATCCGGGAAGTGAACACGGTGTTGGAGTTATGCTTGAACGTAAGTAGTCTAGGATCACTTCTTGATCATAGATTCCCGAACGTGCTTTGCCTTCTCTTCTCGCTCTCATTTGCGTATGTTAGCCACCATATATGCTAGTGCTTGCTGCAGCTCCACCTCATACCTTTTACCTACCCATAAGCTTAAATAGTCTTGATCGCGAGGGTGTGAGATTGCTGAGTCCCCATGACTCACAGATTACTTCCAGAACCAGTTTGCAGGTGCAGATGATACCGTGCAGGTGACGCAACCGAGCTCAAGGAGGAGCTCGATGAAGATCGTGTTCGTTGTGTTGTTTCGTTTCCAGTTGTTCAGTAGTGGAGCCCAGTTGGGGCGATCGGGGATCTTTTGCATTAGGGGTAGTCTTCTTTTATTTTGGTTCCGTAGTCGGACCTTGATTGTATCTGGATGATGTAATGCTTTAATCATGTATTGTGTGAAGTGGCGATTGTAAGCCAACTTTGTTTCTCTTTCTTATTCAGTACATGGGATGTGTAAAGATTACCCCTCTTCCGACATGCCTACAATGCGGTTATGCCTCTAAGTCGTACTCCGGCACGTGGGAGATATAGCCGCATCATGGGTGTTACATCCATATACCCTAAAAACACCGGAGGGCACAATAGATCAGGAGTTCCGCCGCCAGAAGCCTCCGTAGCCACCGAAAGCCAATCTAGACCCGTTCCGGCACCCTGCCGGAGAGGGAATCCTTCTCCGGTAGCCATCTTCATCATCCCGGTGCTCTCCATGACGAGGAGGGAGTAGTTCTCCCTCGGGGCTGAGAGTATGTACCAGTAGCTATGTGTTTGATCTCTCTCTCTCATGTTCTTGATTTGGCACGATCTTGATGTATCGCGAGCTTTGCTATTATAGTTGGATCTTATGTTTCTCCTCCCCCTCTACTCTCTTGTAATGAATTGAGTTTTCCCCTTGAAGTAATCTTATCGGATTGAGTCTTTAAAGATTTGAGAACACTTGATGTATGTCTTGCCGTGCGTATCTGTGGTGACAATGGGATATCACGTGATTCACTTGATGTATGTTTTGGTGATCAACTTGCGGGTTCCGCCCATGAACCTATGCATAGGGGTTGGAACACGTTTTCGTCGTGATTCTCCGGTTGAAACTTTGGGGCACTCTTTGAGGTTCTATGTGTTTGTTGAATAGATGAATCTGAGATTGTGTGATGCATATCGTATAATCATACCCACGGATACTTGAGGTGACATTGGAGTATCTAGGTGACATTAGGGTTTTGGTTGATTTGTGTCTTAAGGTGTTATTCTAGTACGAACTCTAGGGTTGTTTGTGACACTTATAGGAATAGCCCAACGGATTGATTGGAAAGAATAACTTTGAGGTGGTTTCGTACCCTACCATAATCTCTTCGTTTGTTCTCCGCTATTAGTGACTTCGGAGTGACTCTTTGTTGCATGTTGAGGGATAGTTATGTGATCCAATTATGTTATCATTATTGAGGGAACTTACACTAGCGAAAGTATGAACCCTAGCTAGGCCTTGTTTCCTATCATTGCAATACCGTGTATGCTCACTTTTATCACTTGCTACCTTGCTGTTTTTATATTTTCAGATTACAAAAACTATTATCTACTATCCATATACCACTTGTATCACCATCTCTTCGCCGAACTAGTGCACCTATATAATTTACCATTGTATTGGGTGTGTTGGGGACACAAGAGACTCTTTGTTATTTGGTTGCAGGATTGCTTGAGAGAGACCATCTTTATCCTACGCCTCCTACGGATTGATAAACCTTAGGTCATCCACTTGAGGAAAATTTGCTACTGTCCTATAAACCTTTACAATTGGAGGCCCAACAATGTCTACAAGAAGAAGGTTGTGTAGTAGACATCATGGTGGCGCCTGGCTGGGGGGGAGCGGCTGCGATGACGCGGGGCAGGCGCCGGCGCCGGCTGGGTCGGTGCGCGTCCCCGACGTAGTAGGGCATCCTTCCAGGATCTGCGACCAGCACCGCCAGCTCCGCCAGCGTCGTCGTGGTCGCGTCCATCGCGTGGCATGCCGCGGCAGCCCAGGTCAGCCACCTGGGCGCGCCCAAGGCGATGGAGGCAATCACCCCTCTGCCCGTCCTCGACCTCCATGGTCCAGGTGGCAGGGATCACGGTAAAGCGGAGCCGATCGTCAGTGTCGGAGTCGGACGACGGCAGCCCGCTTTGGGTAGAGTGCGAAGAGCGCGGCGATGGGGGGGGGTCCAGTCTTCGACCCTGTCGACGTGGATGAGCATGGTGTAGTCCGTGGTGCCCGGTGGTGGAGCAACGCGCCGGTCGGGCGGCGAGTAGCCCTGCATCTCCTCGACGCGTCCCGCGCCGCGCGGTAGGACCCTGAGCGTGTGCTTGGTGGGGATGTGGGCGACGTCGTTCGTCCAGACCCAGCAGGCAAAAGTCTTCGTGTGTCCGCGCTCCTGCGTCCTGCTGTCGAGGCGGTCGACGCGCACCTTCTTCCCGAGGATTTCCTCGATCCCTTCCAAGGACCAGTACTGCATAGGGACCTTCTCGATGACGACTCTGACGTGAAGCTGAAGCGTGTCGAAGGCGGCGTGGTCGTGCTCATGCCACGGCGCAATGTTGAAGGCGGCGCCGTCGACCCTGATTGAGCCGCGGCGAACGGCGTTGACATGGTGCGTGGGCTGGCTGTAGATGACGAGGTAGTGTTTCGGGTGGTGAGCCGTGACACGCAGCAGGCTCACCGGGACGGCAAGCTGCGCCTCCAGCGTGCTGCCCACCGCCATAGGGGACGTGGCGTTGACACCGTCCGTCGCAGTCATGGTGACGGCGTGGTTGCGCAGGAAGAAAATGGCCTGCTCTGTCGCCGGGGAAGACATGGTCAGCGAGTAGCTCTCTCTGGGGCGGCGGGAGGGGTCGATGTGGCGTTGCATGGCCGAGGTGGTGGTGGGCATGGTGGATGCAGCAGGCGGCGGGAAGCAGAGGCGCGAGTGGATTGGCGCCGGAGGAGCGGCTTGCCTAGGCCTGGAGCGCTGATTTTGTGGGCACTGCTTCTCTATGTGGCCGGGCAGCTCGCAGAGGATGCAGTGAATGGGATCACGGCAGTCGGCGCGGCGATGTTTCTTGCTGAGGCAGCGGAAGCAGCGGCCGCGGAACCGGCTTAAGAAGGCCGCGCAGGCGACGGCCGCATTGAAGCCACTGCGCCGGTCCGTCCGCTGCACCCCGAGGCGCGCCCTGTAGCCCAGCGGGCCGGAAGCAGGGCGTTTCTTCTTCCGGTGGCTGACCTCGGTCCACCCACCGTCCATCCCCGAAACGGAAATCTGGACAGCTGGAGGGATGGGGCGACGATAATGGATTTAAGGCGCTGCGTAGGGGGCGGCGGTAGCTCGGCCTCGCTTGAAGGCGCCGCGGCCAGCGGCAGCGAGGATTGCTGCTGGATCTATGGCCGGTCGGCTGGATCTGGTGGAGCCTCGAATTGTGTTTCCGGCACCTCGGATTCGGATGGACCAGGGGAAATAGGGATATCCCACGCTGATGGGTTCGGGCTTGCACTCGCAGCTGGCGATGGCGGAGAAGACGTCACCATTAAGGCAGGTGGGTGGCTGTGCCGCGGCCGGAGCGGCCAGCGGCGCGGGGGGAGGGAGGCGCGGCGGAGATACGATGATGCCGTTCCTGATGAGATCTCTTTCATTTCCATGTTGTCCAATGCTTTGCTTCTGGCGGCGACTAGCGAGAGCGTTCAATCCTAAAATAAGAATCGATTCAACGCTCGCGCTACACGCGCGCCCTTGTCTGTAGTGGTTTGTTAGCTTGTTAATCCAAGCATCGCTGTCGGTCAGTCCACCATTAGTTGCCGCGCTGCTTCCATTCCAGTCCAAGAATGATGTTTATACAAGTAACAGTGAAGCAATGCTGCTGCTGGTGCACATGGATGTAGATTAGGATGGTGATTGAGGAATAATCTCCATGTGATGTGCTGTGTGACCGCGACAGCTAGTGACTGCACCAAAAAGATATGTGCACGTTTATCTTTCACCAACAGCTCCACCCAATATTAGTGTCACATGCAGATGCTGGAGTCAACAGTCAACCCCTTCACAAGACTACCTACCATGCTTACACACGGAAACTGACACTCCAACCCCAATTCGAAGTGCTCGCTGTATATAAATGGACACGGATGCACGCCCCCATCTCAGACTCTCAGTACAACAGCAAACCACAGGACTAGCCAAGCTTCTTTCCAGGATCCGCAGTAATCCATGGAGCGCAAGCAGGAGCAGGAGAAGAGCTTCGGGGAAGGAGCGGCCATGGCTATGGAGGCCTCCTCCTCGGCGTTACGGTCGCTGCTGCACCGCATGGCTCAACGATGCGCCGGCTACCTGGGCCTCGCGGGGCCCCTAGCATCCGACTACTCCCAGTCCCTTGGCGCTGGCGGCGATCACCTGAAACCCACCGGCGCTGCAGATGGCGTTGTGGTGCAGCCGGAGGAGGAGTTCACGGTCGTCCAGGTGCAGTCGAGATCGATGGCGTTTCAGAGCAACCGCAAAATAGATCAAGGAGTCGGTGGACGTGGCGGGATCAAATACTGATTAACCAACACGTGCACAGCTCCATTGTAGATTTCCACCTGATGTACCTCTGCCTCCCGTGATGATCGATGTTTGCGTCTGAATGACCCACCAGGGTAGTATATTTTCCCAATAATTTCTACTGCTGTCACCTTGGTTTTATATACGGTATAAAAGTTGTCTTTTATTTAAACTGAACTTTTTTAAACACAGTACACACGCAAGCGCTCATATACACGTGCATATACTCATCCCTATAAACGCACACACGCACACCCTACCCCTATGAGCACCTACGAAAGACTGAGCCGGCATATCATTTTAAAATTTACGAAGTCATCGTAGGCATCTCATCGTCGACGGGAACGTCTTCTCCCACTGAATGCACATCGTCAGAAATCCTAAAATAAATCCAGGGATAAATGCGAGCACCAGGATTTGAACCCTGGTGGTAACTTTTGTGCAACTTGCCTTGCCTTGATGCGATTTTAAGATGAATGAAATCTTAGTTTCCACCGGAAATTACTCCTTTGAAGGATGCTTGAGTACTCTTTTCCTTAGGGCATTCGCACCCTCAACCGCTCTCCGCACCATCCGATCCAGCCGCACCGTGCCCGCTGCCTTACTGACACACTCCCTGTCGTCTTATCGCGTTATGCAGTGCCTCACCGCCTCGACACTCCTACGGGGTCCATGACGCATGGGTCATGAACACAGATGCCCCCCCCCTCGCCCCTTGTTTGGGTATTTTCTATCGACCCATCGTATACTCGTTTGTTCGGCGGTATCGGGTCTGCCACGATAGTTGGTGCCATTTCGTGTCTATCTGGATGGGGGTGTGAGGGGTTGGCCTGCTCGACCCTCTTTGTCTACTCTACCGGTTTACGGCGGTGGCTGGTCCCGGATGTTCGAACGCCGCCCTACTTGGCCTTTCTATCCACTCAGTTGTTTGATGCTGCCCTGGCTACCGTGCCATCTGGTCCCGAATGTTGGACCGTCGCCTGCTCGGACTTTCCTTTCACTCGGCTATTGGATGATGCTAGGGTTAATTGTATGGTCGAGGCTTTCTATTCAAACCCGCTTGGTCGACACTTCTTTCCCCCGTCTGTTGCTAGAGCCTGCTGGTTTATCATTGGCTAGTCGGTCCACCGGGTTGTATGGTTGAGGCTATTTGTTCAAACCCGCTTTATCGGCACTCTTGTCCACCCGGCTATTGGATGTTGTTGGGGCTACCCCGTTAGTGTTGTCTATTGTTTTTTCTTCTTTTGGTCGTCAGACGCTTTCGATCTTAGGGTGGAGCCTGTGTTTGGTGGACGAAATTGTAAATCTAAGTATATCAACCAAGGAGGGTGAATGAAAGATTTAAAATTTATTTCGAAACTTCAAAACTCTCAGCACAACACAGCGGGAAAAACTATCACAAACAGTTCAAACAAAGGGATCTATTGAAAGATAAGATAGCAAGAAAGAAATAACAAGGCAGGCTACTGCGAGATATTCATTAGAACAGAACTAAGAAGAATAACAATGTAGCAGTAGATGAATATCAGGCAGACAGACAACACAGACAGTCTTCGGCATAGTGAGAGATAACACGAAAAGAAACATGATCTCAATGCATATAGAATTGCAAGAGGAGAATTAACAGACAAAGTTTTGAAGAATGACACATCAGGGATAATTGAACCGAAAGTAAATTACAGAAAGTAATGCGGAATGAGAAAGAACAAGTGGTGTTTGATGGCAACAGAGTATTTGGTAGACTAGTTCACTCTTCTACAAAGGAGTTATGTCTGGTTGGAGGGACTTTTGATTGAACACATGATCAAACTTCTCTCTGTCCTATTCTCCTCGACACGGAGCTCCTCGAATTTCAGTTGATTTCACTCGCTGTAGATTCTTCTCGGCAATATCCAAACCTTCATAGACTTTGTCTTCGGTGACCACAATTACTCTTAGTCACGCTAAACCGACGCCTAACCATCTAGAGAGTATGCAACTCTCAAGATTAATAAGCACAAGAACTCTCAACTTACATCTATGTGATGTTGAACCACTATCTAAGTTTTGGCTCTAGGTTTTCTCTCGGAAGAATTCGCACAAATATCTTAGAGAGGGGTGCTCAAACAAACTTGTCAAATCAAACATAGCAACCAACATGTAATGGTTGGAGCGGGGCGACTATTTATAGCTAGAGCAATCTCAATGGTGAAATCACCAATAGGGGCTTGTGGTCGAACCAATGGTCAACCGACACTTTTCCAATGGTCGAATTTCAACTCACACGACATTTTTACTTGAGAAACAAGTAAAGCTGACTCCACTGCTTCAGCATTTCTCTCGAAGCCCAGAAGAAATTTGTGTCAACTTGTTAGGATCGAGAGTATATCGGCCAGAGGGGGTTGACTGGGAGATTCATTTTTCTGAATATTTTTGAACTGAATCCAAACACAGCAACGAAAATAAGGTTCGGTAGACACGAAATCAATCAAGCATGATGTTGAGGACCATTTCTACCGACATAGGAAGCAATTATGGTACGAGCTTGAGATATCATAGGTTTAACTACAATGATTGTAATGCAACATGCAAACACATGTAATAGCATGAGGTATAACATTTACATGATAGGGACAAGTGATGAGAATGCAACAGGATAGGCTGTGAAAAACATCGTTTGAGAACAATAGAGATAACTGAAGCGAATGAAAATACAATAAATGTTAATGATCAGATAAACTATCGACACAGAGCACGAAAGTAGACTGTTGAAGGAATTCCAGTAAAGTAGATTGAACCAGTGGTGCTCGATGGTGACAGAGAGATTTGGTAGACCAGTTCACCCTTCTGCCAAAGGGCTATGTCTGGCTGAAGGGGTTGTGACTTAACACGAAAGATAAACTCTCTTCACCCTATTCTCCTTCAATTCGAAGCTGATCAGACTTCAGTTGATTTCACTCGTGTTAGATACTTGTCGGCGATCTCCAAACCTTCGATCGACCTTCGCGAACCACAATCACTCTTGGTTGCTAAAGATCTTGCTCGGTGAGGACAACGACTCTTCAACACTCGAGCCGACACCTATCCATCTAGAGAGTGCACAGCTCTCAAGAGTAATAGGTACACGAACTCTAACTTAGAACTACTGTGATGCTCAACCACTGTCTAAGTTTGGTCTCTTGATTTTTCTCTCGGTGAATCTTAAACTCAAATCACTTGGAGAGGGGGTGCTCAAATAAATCTTCTAAAAAAGCATAAGCGGAGCAGCCAACGGGCAACGTTGGAGCGGGGTGGCTATTTATAGCCACAGCCTCCCCTGATGGGAAATGACCAAATTGGACACGAGGAGCAGCCAATGACTGAACGACACGAGTCCACCGGTCGGAAATTGAGCACAATGGTAACATTACTTGCGGAGCAAGTAATGCTAACTCCTCGGTCCGAAAGATATCTCATGCAACACAAAGAATAATGTCTACTACTGCTAGGTAATCATTCGGAGCATAAAGAGATTTCTCTTGCATCTTTCATAGGTTTTGGGCTAAGCATCACAATGGATCTAGGCTTCGAGAACCTATATCCCTCTTAATAGTACAGAGGTCATATGACTCAAATGAACAAAAGAAGAACAACGAAATGAATACTACGTCTTCACTTTGTCTTCGACTTCTATTCGTTGCAGTCAATTTGTTCGGACAACAATACCGAACCAAATGCTTCGCTTCAGTAGTAAAAGTTCGAGGGGATAATTCCTTCACATCAATCTTCTCGTCTACATGTATTTATCAGATGTAGCTCATTCTTCTCTGCAACGTAGATATACTTCGGTTAAGTTCCTCGAACTTGGCACCGGAGACAGCATTCTCTTCGGTTCTGTATGGACTATTTCTCTTTGTATGCACTAGCAAACAAATCAGTCCATACATGTTTCTATCAACAATCTCCAAAACACAGGAAGGCAGATATTGCACCAACACAACTCACTTGGGATATATCTCGGTTAAGCATTGACATAGACAAAAGTCTCAAAACACTTGAACCCCTCTTAATAGTACGGTGGTCCTATGACCCAGATGAAGAAGATGAAATTATGAAAAAGGACTATTTCTTCACACGGCCTTTCTCCGTTGCAGTCAAATCTCTCAAACAGCACTCCATAGCAATTGCTTCATCTCAACAATATTTTTGGGGGTCGACTCCGACATGCAATCTCCTTGGTAGAAACTCCTTGATAGCTTTATCATACTTCTTTGCTATAGAGAAAATCAGCACAAAAGTTTATAGCAAACTTCTCATAACTTCAGGATCATATCTCTTTGTGTGCACTAGCAAACACATTGGTCCCTCACTATTTTCCTAAAAATATCCAAAACACTCAAGGGGCACTATATTGCACTAATAATCTCCCCCTTTTCTGGATGATTGTTGACAAAACAGTTAAGCATGAGAAAGTAGATATTTATTGTAAATGGTAATGTGCGGAATGTAAATAACTCAAAGATATAAAATAAGCTCCCCTAAATGTATGTAGTATATAAAGTTTTTGTCTTAGATAACCTGCATATTTAGGATAAATTGATGGAGAGATATTTTGATATCATCGAGAGATGGATTGCACTGACGAATAATACGAAGAATAATTGAATGCATCCCTAGAGAACTCTGAGAATAATTCCACCTGCAAAATAGTGTCGAGGAGTAATATGGCAAGAGTTATTGACATTACAAACCATCATAGAGTTTGACGAGAGTTTTACAACACAATAAGATTCAAATAGAACACCAAGTGTTGTAAACTCAAGAAATAAAACCGGATCTAATAACTCTTGGTGTCTTCTCCCCCCTTTTGTCAACAAGTGTCAAAAAGGTGACGAAGAGCATGAGGCAGTCTACGCGCCTGAAGAAGAAGATGATGATGAAGCTTGAGAATCATCTGCAATGTATCCGGTGGATGACACTTCTGAGGGAGAATCTTCATCAATAGTGACAAGATTTTCTTCAGCTTCATTTCCTTCAGGAAT